AAAAGATCAAGGGAAGCCAGTCTGAGAAGAGGGTTTGGATTGGGCAGTAGAAAAACACTTTGCCCTCAGCAATAATAGACTTAAAGAGTAATTTTTGCATGTGAGAATTTGTCAATATTTTTATTTGTCTTAGGGAGACCGGCTCTCCATTCACCTGTTGGTTTGGGATGAGGGATTTATTTTCATCAAATATTAAGACAAAAGTCTTTGGATGGTGAATTTAACAAAAAAGTGGTAGCATTTACAAGAACTGCTGTATAAAGTACGGATGAACCGACGGGGCTCACCTGAATAGTTCATCCTGTTCTCTTTCTGATTTCAGACTTTATAAATGATGTAAATTTTTGAGGTTTGCACTGAAATAACTAACTGGTATTTTCCCATTAGAGAGTCAAGCCAATTTTTTTCTATTCTGGACAAAAACATGAAAGTATTTTTGGAAATATTTATGCAATGTATAATAAAATATCTTAAAAGAAAAAAGACGAAAGTAACAACGTGGTTTTCTTTTATATGGAATCAGGTCATAGATATTATTTTTCTTCTCTTCATTTTACAATTTTTATTGTAGACCTGTATCCTCTTGCCCCTTCTGGTTTAAAAAAATTTTTTGGTAGAACTTTAATCTCATTTTTCACATGAGACTTTTTTTTATAAACAAAGCAAACATTTTGTTTCTCATAACTTTATGGCAGAATTTGAAACGGTATTTTAGATTTCCCTCCCCTTTTCTTAGCTAGTCGTTACATACTATAATTATACTTCTTAAATGTCTTTCATTCCAGCCCTTTTAGTACCTGCCAGCACTGTCCTAATTCAGTGTCTCAATATGCTCTACTTGGTCTCTCAGCCCTTTACCAGCCTCCTTGCCTTCACCCTTGCATTTCCACTGCTGTCATAGTTTCCATCCTAAACCCCCAGTCTCAGCCTTTCTCTACTGTTGCGAATCCCTTTCTCTTGTACAATGAAGTTGAAACTACTTACCAGGTCATACAAATCTAGCTCCTTATTTAGTTACATCTTTTATCATATCTTTGAAACAATTTTCCATGTGAGGCAAACTATGTGTACTTCCCCAAGGGTATCTTGGGTCTTTCTCCCTCCTTGCCTATGTACCCATTGCTTCAGCTTCCTAGAAAGAACTTCATTTGTCAGACTGGCAAATACCAACTTTCAATATACTCTCATTTTTTCTTTTTCTTTTAAAAATGCAGTTCTTTTTTTTTTTTTTTCTGATTTCCACCTGCTCAGAGGTATATACACACACAAACACGAACGATTCCTTTGGTGGGTCCTTATTGGTAACCATTGGATTTGTTTACAGTTCTGTTTCATCCTCTAGACCTCTACTCGGCAAGGAGCATGTCCTACTGGACTTTGAATCCTCTGTGGGAAGCCTGGCATAGAATACATTTTAAATAACTGTATAATGAAATAATTCCTTTTTCACTGAGGAGACTGAACCTGAGGGAACATGGCTATTTCCAAAGTCTCCAAAAGGAAATGACAGAGCTGACGCTCAGACTCAGAATTGTTTTATTCCAGATTTGGTGTCCTATCCACTATATCTAAGATACTAATGGTATCTTAACGTTTATTTAGTCCATGAACATTTGTTATGATCTGCTAATGCAAAATAAAATCCAAACATTGTTTTTGAGATTTAGTATTTAATATAGAAGTATCTTTACTGTTGTGGGAGAATAATATGCCTTCAATAGTTCACACTAAAGATTGCAAATAATGGGGGAGGAGGGTATAGCACAGAGGTAGAGTGGGTGCTAAGCATGCACAAAGTCCTGGGTTCAATCCCCCATACCTCCACTAAAAATAATAACTAAATAAACCTAATTGCCTCCCTCACAAAAAATAAAAACAAATTTTTAAAAGAGACTGTAAATAACATGATCTTATATTTTGTTGCCTTCAAGAAACAGGTTTTCTTCATACTAGACTCCAAAACTCATTTGCTTTTACCCCATCTGGTAGCTAGACCATTTCTGCACATGCTTTCCTGGAAGATTTACACTTCACTTACTAATTTTCATTTCCCACAAGGGTCATAATGACTTTGATGTGTCAGCACTTTAAAGATGTCATGTCACTGTTTTCTTGCTTGCAGTGTTACTACTACCACTACTACCACTACTACTATTATCTTTTTTAAAAATGGTGGCACTGGGGTTTATTAAGCCATGCCTTAGTGTAAGTGCTGGGCTTGCCCATGGTGCTCTAGATGTATCAGGCCCAGATGTCCTGCCAATTCTAGAGCCCTGGCCCCAGTAAACTGAGAGCTAGTTGATGTTGTACACAAGCCCATCATCTGTCACTTCCATGTGGCCAACAGTCACTGCCAGACCTAGAAACTTCTTCATCTGGAACTTGATTGTGGGGCTCACTTCATGGACTCTGGCCACCATCTTCTCATTGTGGATCAGCAAGCAAGGGCCCAGGATTTGTGGGTTCTGCTTGATGAGACTGAAGCCACAGAGGCATAATTCTTGGCCAACTTCTTGACCAGATTCTTATTCTTGTTGAGTTTCTTCAGCACTTTGATGTCCATATGGGGTATATCCACAGCTGTGGCCTCATCACAGTGCTACTGGTCCCCCAGGACACACGTGGAAAACTTGGGGCAGGGAGTGGATTTAGCCTGATGGTGCCCAAGAAGTATTTGTCCTTGTGAGGGTCATAGTTCTTCAAGGCGATCTGCAGCCTCGAGCTGATCAGCAACTCAAGCCAATCTGCAGTTTCCAAAAACTTCGGGTGCTGAGCTGG